CGACCGTCGAATCGATTCGACGGCCGATCGCTGATACAAAGCAAGTGCTGAATTTGAATTTTTAGACGAGCACGTGTGCTTTTTCACTTTTCCATCGAGGTCAGAAGACAATTGCTTGTTTTTAGATGCTGTATTGGAGGAGGAGAAGACTTTATTGTATATACACACACGCACAAAAGATTTTGTCATTAAATCCTACCTCATCAGAAGATTCCACAATAGTATTCGAAGCCGCCGATGTGCTTGAGTTTGTTTTGAAATTCACTGGACTGCTCAGAGGTGAACTACTCATCAACGATATTTCCGAATCAAATGCCGTCGATATTGGACGCGATGACACCTAAATGAATCGATTATTGAAGTTTTTGATGGATTATTCTTTGAAAAGCGAAGAATACTTTCAGCCTCTTAAATAGACGAAGAAATTAAATAATAGATCAATAAAATAGATGCGTACAGGAGTAATTGGGCTTAATAACGGTAACGCGTTTGCTTTTCCATCAATGCACTCGGATGCCATTCGATCAGACGTTTCCACATCATTCATATCGCACGTTTCTGCATCCTCTGCATATGAGATTACGCTTGATTTAATTTTTTAAATGATCAATATTTTGCATATAATTACGAGTAAGTTTGTCTTCACACATTTATTAATAATAGTTTATAAAAAAACATATTTCAATGGTCAACGCCAAAAAAACAAAACAAATAATACTAACTTAACCAGTAGAAAACAGTAAACCAGTAAAAAAAACGAAAAGCTAAAAAAACAGTAAAATACAAACTTAAATTATCAGCAGCTACGTCGTCATCCTTTCTGCTGCTATCACCATCAATATTACTATCCTCGCTACTGACTGTTTTTCGTTCCCGACTACACCACTTCCAATCGGGATGCGCTCGAAAATGCGCCTCTTTCACCTTAAAAATTTTTTACTTTCACCTTAAAAATAAGAAATACCACCTTAAAATTTCACTCAATTATTTTTACTCATCACACAACACAAACGTGTCAACTTCATTTGCAAGCAAATAAAGCTGCTAATATAATCAATAACCTGTGTCGCCAGATCATGATATTTTTGCTTTTGATCAGGCCCAAGTGCGTACCACCATTCACCCAAAATTTTTGATACAGTTCTATTGTCACGATTCGGATATTTCTGATGAACCAACGGTCGATGTCGCTTTGAGAATATCATAAACGCATTCATTGGGCGTCGAATGTGGTGGTGATGGTGGTGGTTGTTGCTAGCGCTTCGGTTGTTCACATCATTCTGCCAAATCATTTTCGCTAGTAGTATAATTATTATTAAAGCCTATCTTTCAGTGTTATCACTCATGATAAGAGATAAATACTCACTAATTAATGTACAATCAAGAAAAAACAATTAAATTTTTTTTACGTCGTACCATTGTCCCCTTCTTTGCAGAGCATGTAGCAGCAGCAGCACTCACACTATTGGAATGTTGTATTCTGCGTTTCTTTGATGCATTATTATTATTATTGTTATTATTATTACTATTATTGTTACTATTATTATTATTATCGTTTGATGTCTCGAAATCAAACGCAACAACGCCATCGTCATCGACGTATTGCTGCTCTTCTTCTTCACAATCCAATTCTTCTGAATCGTTTATCATGATTATCCTTAAATTCCGTTTCGTCTCCAAACTTTCATTCATCTCACTTTTTTACTTAAGAGGGTCGCACGCGAGCACGCTCGCGTACAACGATACACACACACGCTCGCACATTCTGAACGACG